CTCAAGAAAACCAGGTTTAGTTTCTGCTTCAACAGAAACATGATTGTGACTTCTGGAATAATTGTTTCACAGGTTTGTGGTCCTTGGGCAGTGCCTGTATAAATAAGGGCCATTGTGTCTGTTCTGACAGGTAGTGAGGTGGCTGAAAAGCCCCATTAGAAGAGTTTTTCCCACAGAGGGAGTTGTGCAGCTCCCGTATTAGAGCTGGCTCATGCCTGGAGAGCTGATAGTGTGGCTGAAGAAGCTCTGTAATCTGTTAACTGCTCCCTGAAACATAATAAGGATTAGCCTTCAGATGTGGTGTTGAGGTTCAAAATATTGATGTGCTTTAGGCAGTTAATCTACCTGTGCTGGTTCTCTACACCATCCTAACTCCTCCAAACAGCAGCAATGCCTGCCTGACTCCCTTTTTAAAAAATGAGAAGTGTTCTGTGTAATGGTTGCCACTCTCTGAAGGTTTGTAAGAAATTGTACATAAAGAAAAACCTGTGTTTGTCTGTTATGATAGTTTTTTCATATCTAAGTATACAAACACAGGTAGCTGAAAATCCTTCCGTGTTATGTGTGTAATGTAGTATTCCAGGTGCACAGCACAATAAAATAAGAAGACCTAAATCCATCATAATGTCATTTATCCAGGTGTCTAGTGATGTCCTCTCCAGGTTATTTCTTGTTTCTAGGACTAAAATTAGGACAAAAGGGGATTATTTTCTTTACCAATAATCTCATTCTTACTAAAGCTTCGTAAAGCCTATCCTTAAAAGTGTAAAGGCTCAAAGGAATGAGTAAAGAGTCATCATATCAAAGTTTGTGAAACAGAAACCATTTAGGAATAATATTTATATTAATTTCTTTTTCCATAACTATGCCACATGTAAATTGAAAAAAACTTTTGCTATCATAAACTACAGTTATATAGAAAATATTAATGGATTGCTTGTTACAGAGAAATTGGGACAAGTGCCTTTTATCCTCTTTCTTAAAATTAAAATGCACACTTCAGAAAGGTATGATAGTAAGAAAGACAACCAGACTGTTAAGAAGACCTGAAATTCAAGATGCAAAGTGAGGACCTAGAAATCTATTCCTAATCTAAAAACTTCTGCATTTTTATGTAAAGGATTTCCAAAAATGACAGTGCCCCTAATGTTTTATCCTATAAAGTACCTTATAGGGCAAGTCTTATTGTCATGCATTAAAGTGTAGTAAAACTGTGTGTCAGGAAGTGTTGATTGGTTTTTGTGATGTTGTGAAGACTGAAGTTAATCATCGTGCCTCTGTATAACGAGATAGCAAAGCAACTGCTGGGATGAAGAGATCTGTTATCTGCTTGATTAATGCTTGAAGCCTTTTTAAAATCACCTTACCCTGGAGTGTGGATCCAAGGTGACATTACTTAGTTACATGTTCAGGTGTTCTAACAATTATACAGATGCATCTCTTTAAGTGTATACCTAATTAAAGAGAAG